CACACACACACACACACACACACACACACACACACACACACACACACACACACACACGGCCTTAACCCTGGCCACCTCTATATTATTTCTGGAATCCCATATTCTATAAAACTATTTTAGTTTCTAACAAATATCTTGGTCTTTATGATGGTCACTACTATGAAACACATTTTACTTTACACTTTCTTGCCTTATACATAAATATTTCCCAAGTAAAATTACTTGTAACACTTTCCTCATTTAAATGTGCATTGGCTAGTGAGAAGCATCTCTACAGATTGCTTAATTTTAGGAAAATAACAATTCCCCAGAAACATAAACAAGTCAAATCAAGATAGTTACCAGGAGCAATTCTTTATATTATCCAGTTGCACAACACACTCCTTGAATAAATGACATATCCTAATTTAGGATACATCACCAGATTCAAGTCAGAGAGTATCCTCTGCCAGTCAATAAGAGTGCGGGTCACTGGAAGATCCCTTCGTAGAATTCTTCTCAGGGCTTCATTGGATAACTCCTGTAATTCTTCCAAGACTGCAGCTTGAAATTTGTTCTCTTGCTCTTCCACAAGCCTTGCAAAACTTAGAGCCAGTTGAGCTTGGTTAACTATTTCCAAGCTTTCTTTCAGGTCCTTGGATATTTCAATATGAAGGTTGACACACCTGAAGAAGTGAGCTTGCACATATATTCTTCCTGTTACTTGAGTTAGAAATGGGTTAACTTGGAAAATCCATTTGGATTTCCAAAGTCCATTCCAGCACTCTCCCGTTTCATAGTTGTGGTCTTCAATGCAAGCTATCAAGTACTCCTTACTTTTGACAGTTTTTCTCAGCACGTTGCAATTTCCTTTTGGATAGTGGTCATTCACATACAGTTTTAAGGCACACAGAACAACAACTCTCAGGTATTCTGTCTCATTACGAATGATACCATGACTTTGGATGTCTTTCAGCTGATTTTGAAGCAGGTCATATTTGAAAGAAAGTTTGCTTTGATAGTCAAAAAATCGGAAGTCACCCATTACATTGTGGTGAGACAAGAGTACTGGATTTCCATCGATGCTGAGTGGTACAGAATATTTTTGGCAGTGTTGGTGGCCTGCACATTCACCTTGATGGTGCATAAGTTTTTCATCACGGATAAGCAGACAGAGATCATCAAAGGCATTTACAAATTCCCCCGGAGGTGCCTGTATTAACAGTCTGCGAATTACTCTTTCCTTGTCCTTCCTGCTCAGCACGCTAAGTGCCATGATTAGTTGCAACAGAAGCAAAGCTTCTGAAATAAAGAGTGTTCAAAGGATAAGAAAACATTCCATGAGACACCTTTTCCATCAAGGTGTTAACATTCAAGCTGAAGATTATTATACCCACCCATGAAAGCAGGCAGTCTGGCAAGCTCTGAGCCTCCTGATGAGGTCATAAAGAAGCTTTCTCTATGCAGTGGGGAACTTCTGATGATATCACAATGGGCATTCAGACCAAAAGAAAAAAATGACAGTCACCTGATAGTATGGTGCCCAGCTAACCAGCTGTACCTATTTTGAAGATTTTAAGAACTTAGCCTCCTGAACAGTCTTCTTTAAAAGTGGTGTGTCTCTGTGTGCATTATATGTTGTCAGGGATCTAGAGAAGCAGCCCAAAGTTTCTAGAGTGACAGCACTTTGGAACTTCAGGAATCACAATGGTGTTGATTTATACTCAGGCTCTCAGAGCAGCTGCCCAAACCCACTGGAAGCACATTATGATGAAAGGTTTGAGGGGTTAAAACAAAATAGTAAAAATTAAATGATATACAATGGCAGTTCATGGAAAAATGCCAGACATCAGAGAAAGCTGTGTTTTCAAACAGTGGGTGTGGAGACAGTCAGAATTCAAGAAGCCAAAAAGTTTCCAGGGCAGGGTAATGCAGGTACCACATCTTGCATACTGTTTCTGTGGCTAAGTGTGAGCTGGCTTCAAAGAACAAAGGCAACAAACCACTATGTGTCCTCTGCTTTCTCCCTAGAAAAGTGGTAACAGCCGATGAGCATCAAGAAATTATTTTCTGCAAAGGGAAAAAGTTAATTGTATTTGGAACCCGTGACAGCATCTATTGGGGAGACACTTCTAAGCGAGGAGAAACGGCTCTACAGGTCATAAAACTATGGAAACGAGATATCCATTGAGAAGTTCTTTCTGCCCCTCTTCTCCTTCCTCCTAGTTATCCTCTTTACTTGATGCTGTTATTCTTTTCGAAGAGTCCTGAATTTAAGTCCTCTTCATTTAAGTCAAACTGCTTGTTCCATGTCTGCTCTGACCTTTCCTAAGTTTCCCTACATTCTGGTATCTTTTTCTTACAAGGACATGAGCTTTGCTGTATTAAGTCATAACTATTAAGTTTAAGGACATCTCATTAATTTGCTCTAACAATCTGTAACTTAGTTTTGCATAATTTTTACCCATACCTTTTATGATTTTAGTGATAACTGTCATTATCTCATTTCAATCTTAGAATGGAAATGTCCTAGTTTTTGTAGCTTATCTGTCTATGATAAGTAAGTTTTTTGTTTGTTTTCTCTTTCATACCCAATATACACTCAGCATGGTATTTTTGATGCTTTTTGACGGTAGTTAAAATGTTACTTTCTTGAGTGTGTGTATAGCTAGGCATATGACTAATCTATTAATAATAATTTTATCAGTCATGGTTACTATTTATTGAACAGTAAGTAGCAGCAACTATGTTCGGTGACATATTAGGAATTCACCTAATGCTTCTACCTTCCTTAAGATTCAGGGTAAATTTGCTCACCTTTCTGGAAGAGAGAACTAAAACTGAGAGAGGTCGGGTGAGAGGTGATATTGAAGTCTAGCTGCCTCTCAAGTTCATGTCTTCAGGCCATAGATTGTAATAATGTTTTAATGTATTTTCTAAGTAATGACTTTACTTCTCAAATTTTAATTTAAATTTTTTTTTGTATTTTTACTGTGCTATGCCCTTTCATACCTTTACAATAGCATAGAAACTACTTAATTTTGTTTTTTAAAATATTTGTATCATATAATTATCCTGTAATTTAATCATATTCTTTAAAAATAAAAACAAGTACAGTAAAGCAAATGTTTCTTTAGGAATTTTAAATACTCAATGACTTTCTACAAGAATTTCCTTAACATTTTTGTTCTTCATACATGGTTTTTGTCGAAGATTCAGGATGACTTTAGAGGTGGAAAAATTAACCTAGAAAAAACTCACAGGTTACTTGAAAAATTAGATATTCGGTGCAGTTATATTCATGTGAAAAATATTTTTAAGGTAAGATGATATCCACCGCCTGCCTATCCCACCCTAGGAGGAACTTAATCCAATGTGAGTAAATGTCATATAAAAATTAGTCTCTTAAGAAGAAAAGGAATTAATTATATTAAGTGTATTTACAATCAATATGGAGAACATTTCTGTAGAAGGTAAAATTAGTTAATGAGAAAATCTGAAATAATGCCAGGATATCAGTTTAGAATAATTTCCTGAGCATACAGGAATGCTCACATCAAACCTAGGACTGGATGTCTAATTAGATCAAAATAATAATGGTAACTGGATTAGATGTTAGTGATTTATAGAAAGAGTGGAGAATAAGCCCAAAGTTAGCAGAAGGGAGGAAATAATACAGATTAAGCACATAAATAACTAAAATAGAATAGAAAAAATTAGAAGAAATTGAAGAAACTAAGACTTGTTTTTTTGAAAAGTTAAAATTGACAAATAGTAAGATTAAGAGAAAAGAAAGACAACTCAAATAAAATCAGAAATGAAAGTGGAGACATGACAACAGATCTCACAAAAATGAAAAACCCATAGAAACTATTATGAACAATCATACACTATAAAATTGGACAATCTAGAAAAAATAGAGAAATTTCTAGAAACATACAACCCATCAAGGCTGAACCAAGAAGAACTAGAAAGGTTGAACAGACCAATAACAAAAAGGAGACTGAGAGGCTGGGTGCAGCGATTCATGCTTGTAATCCCAATGCTTTGAGAGGACAAGGCGGAAAGATAACTTGGGGCCAGGAGTTTGAGACTAGCCTGGACAACATAGTGAGACCCTGTTTGGAGTGTCTCACTGACTAATGAAGAAAAGCCCAGGACCAGATGACTTCATAGGTGAATTCTACCAAAGATTTAAAGAACAATAAATACCAATCTTTCTGAAATGCTTCCAAAAATAGAAGAGGGAACATTTCCAATTTTATTTTATGAGGTCAACATCACCCCGATACCAAAGCTGAAGTAAGATACCACAAGTAAACAAAACTTTAGGCCAATATCCCTGATGAACATAGATGCAAAATTCCCCAACAAAATAATAGCAACCAAAATTTATAGCACTTTAAAAGGATCATATTCCATGATCAAATAATATGTGTTCATGGCATGTAAGGATGGCTCAACATACAGAAATCAATCAATGTGACACACCACATGAACAGAATGGAGTATAAAAATCACATAATCAGCTCAAAAATATAGAAAAAGCATTTGACAAAATTTAACTCCCTTTCATCTCAGTAAATTAAGTATAAAAGGAACTTAACACAATAAAGTCCATATATAAAAAGCCCACAGAAAATATCATACACAATAAACTGAAAGTTGTTTTTCTAAGATCTGGAAAAAGGCAAGGATGCCCACTCTCACCATTTCTGTTTAAGATGGTACTGGAAGTCCCAACCAAAGCAATTAGTCAAGAAATGAAAATAAAAGGTAATTGAGTTGTAAAAGCAGAAGCAAAATTATCTCTATTCGCAGACGGCATGAGCTTATAAGTAGAAAGTCCTAAAGATTTTGTCAAAAAATGACTAGAAGGCTGGGCGTGGTGGCTTACACCTGTCATCCCAGCACTTTGGGAGGCTGAGGCAGGTGCATCACCTGAGGTCAGGAGTTTAAGACCAGCCTGGCCAACATGGTGAAACCTTGTCTCTACTAAAAATACAAAAATTAGCTAGAGGTGGTGGTACATGCCTGTAATCCCAGCTACTTGGAAGGCTGAGGCATGAGAATTGCTTTAATCTGGGAGGTGGAGGTTGCAGTGAGCTGAGATCACACCACTGCACTCCAGCCTGGGCAACAGAGAGACAGTCCTCAAACAAACAAACAAAACAAAACAAAAAACCCCAAAAAACTACTAGAACTATTAAATTCAGTAAAGTTGCAAGATACAAAATTAGTATGCAAAAATTAGTTGCATTTCTATTAACTATTAACTATCCAAAAAGGAATCAAGAAAACATTTTCATTTACATTAACATTGAAACAATAAAATATTTAGGAATAAATTTAACCAAGGAGGTGAAAAACTGGTACATCAAAACTGTAAACCATTGATGAAATAAACTTTAAAAGATACAAATAAACAGAAGGACATCCTATGTTAATACATCCATATTACCCAAGACGATCTATAGATTAAATGTAATCCCTACTAAAATCCCAATGGCATTTTTGTTTTGTTTTTACAGAAATATAAACAATCCTAAAATTCATATTAGAACAGAAAAAGACCCTGAATAACCAAAACCAATCTTAAAAAAGAAAATAAAGGTGGAGGCATCAAAATTTTTGGTTTTCAAATATATTTAAAATAATCGAGGCAGTATGATAAGAGCATAAAAACAAATATATAGACCAATGGAACAGAATGGAGAGCCCAGAAAATCGGAAAAAAGCTTTTTGACATTGGGCTTGGCAAGAATTTCTTAGATATGACTCCAAAGGCACAGGTAACAAAAACTTGTGTAAAAATAGACATGTGGGATTACATGAAACAAAGTGGCTCTTGCACAGCAAAGGAAATAATTTTAAAAAAATGTAAAGCCAATTTACAGAATAAAAGTATTTGCAAACCACATATCTGATAAAGGGATAGTATCCAAAATTGAATCCCACAACTCAATAGAATAAAAACCCCAAGTAATCTGATTAGAAAATGTGCAAAGGGATTTGCACGTTTTATAGCAATATAGACATTTCTCTAAAGAAGCTATACAAGTGGCCAACAGGTATATAAATAGGTGTTCAACATCACTACTCATCAAGGAAATGCAAATCAAATTACATGAGATATCATCTCATACCTGTTAGAAAGATTATTATAAAAAAATTCAATAGAAAAGTGTTGGCAGGAATGTGGAGAAAGGGAACTCATATACTATCGGTATGAATGCAAGCTGGTACAAACACTATTGAAAACAATATGGAGGTTCCACAAAAATTAAAAATAAAATTGCCATATAATCCAGCAATTTCACCTCTGGATATATATCCAAAGGAATTGAAATCAAGAGATATTTGCACTCCCATATATACTGCAGCATTATTTTACAATAGCCAAGATATGCAAGCAATCTAAGTGTCCATCAGTGTATGAATGAATAAAGAAAATATAGTATGTACATACAATGAAATATCACTCATCCTGAAAAAATAAAGACTATCTTATTATTTGTGACAACATGGATAAAACTATAGGACATTGTATTAAGAGAAACAAGCCAGACACAGAAAGACGAATACTTCAAGACACCACTTATGTGAGGAGTCTAAAATAGTGAAACTCATAGAAGAAGAGAGTTGAATGATAGTTACCAGGGCCGGGGGAGGGGAAAACAAGGAAGTGTTAGTCAAAGGGTATAGTTTCTGTTATATAACACAAATAGACCCCAGCGAGCTACTGAACAGCGTAGGACCTGTGATAACACTGTGCTGCATATTTAAAAATGTAAGAGGGTAGATCTTAGATTGAGTATTCTCATCACACACAAAAGTAATAAAGAGGGCCTGGATGCAGTGGCTCATGACTGTAATTCCAGCACTTTGGGAGGCTGAGGTGGGCAGATTGCTTGAGCTCAGGAGTTCGAGACCGGTCTGTACAACATGGTGAAACCTCGTTTCTACAAAAATTACAAAAAATTAGCTGGGAGTGGTGGTGCCTGCCTGTGGGCCCAGCTACTTGGGAGGCTGAGGTGGAAGGATCCTTTGAGCTCAGGAGATAGAGGCTGCTGTGAGCCTGGCACTGCTGCGCTCTAGCCTGGGTGACAAAGTGAGACCCTGTGGGGAAAAAATAATAAAGAGGGCAGAAGGAAACTTTTTGAAGGAATGGATATGTTTATAGCATAGATTGTGTTGATAATTTCATGGCTGTATACTTAACTCCAAACTCATCAAGTTGTATACAAATTAAATATATATAGTTTTTTGTATGTCAATTTTACCCCAATAAAGGTATTTAAAAAACCAAGAAGGAATATGTAATCTGAAAACATTTTATTTCGCTTACTCCCTAAGAGAAAATCATCCAAAAATTATCTTTGTTTGAAGAAGAACTAGTAGGAGGGAAACCTAGCTCAATTCTGTGACTAGATGACAGAAGGATCATTAATAAAATTAGGAAAAGCCATTTCAGCTGAGTTTTATACTAGAAAGATGACAAATCTCTTGGTGAATCAGGCAGGAAAGCTGGACTGACCGATCCAGATTGTTAGGAACATTAAAATCCGCGTATTACTTTGTTTTTTGAAAGTGAGTACTCAGGTAGCACAATCTGTGTTGAAGTTGTTATTGGTAACACAAACTGGGAAGGGTCTGACATTGTACCCTCCTTGGAAGCTAACAAATTGGCCTGAGGTAGCTTCATGGAAGCTGGTGGAAGCAGGCTTGTGGGTCAAAGAAAAAAGACAGCTTATTACTCACAGAAATGACAGTTGTCAGAGTATTCACATTTGGATGTTATTTCCCCAAGCCCCAGCTATTAAAGTGTGGTACGAAGAGGAACAAGTGACACACAGTGGGTTGTGTTATAGAATAAGTACCGTAAGCCTAAACCTGGGTCTTTTATGGTGGGCAGTAAGCCCAACTGATCTTTGCCCTGTAGGCTGTCATTATTACTATTA